TTACCGAATATTCAGCTGTACCGAACACCGTCCTTGGCTCCCAATATTTTGTGCACAAAACCTACTGAACATTACGCAGTCGCAAATCAACCCAGATTCGCCACAGCATGCATCAGAGATCGATCCTGAGCAGTAGTTTCACAAATTTTAGGATAAACTAAATGGCAATTTTGTAACTCAAGATTTAATAAAAACCCAAAATAATTAATGGAGACATTTCTAGAAACCTCAAACGTGAATACAACGGCAAAACATCACAAAAACAGGGAATCATAGTACATGTATCACAAAAGGGTGCACTTCAGTTAGACAAGAGAGGGCGCTATTTAACATGGAAACAAAATGTTCGGCAGTTAATTTCGCTATACCGAATGACCGCTGTACCGAACATTTAGCGTGGACCCCATCGTGTTTGTTATAGCAGCGTTCCACAAAAGATTCATGATTGAGCAAAATAAAACAAGGGCTTCTTTAAAAAAATTCATTAACTTCTTTATTCAAATTGTAAAGTAGTGCAGGAGGTTTGTAGGTCCAAAACATAATGCATGTAGCTGTTTTGTGAGAAAGTGCTTGTGTGGACAAGGAAGCAGCCATGACACACTGGCTCTTTTAAAAGCCAAAATTTTCTCAGGTATTTGATACCTCCTTTGTGTATTCACTGTCCTACTTCTTTCAGTTGCTGATAAAATCTGAAGGTTTTGGTCAAGTCACTGATTCGTCGCTAAACATCATCATAACTACGTCTGTAATTTTACTGTGCCGACATTGCAAAGCTTTAAACAACATTCACACGGGAAAGATCAGATTCTGTGGCAAAAGAGAGAGGGTTTTAGCGGGCAATTAGCATGTCAGAAAGAGATCAGCTGTAAGACTTGTTCCTTCTTCAACTGACAAAAAAATGATCGTAGGGTTTTGGTGTTAATTTAACAGGTCGCCTTAGTTTGGATCTCTATGTGCGCACCTTATCTTAAAGACGAAACCGATGAAGCATTGAGTGAGTGTTGCTTGGCAGATACTTTTTGTGTTGCCATTATGAATTTTATTTCTTGCTGCGACCTCTAACATACTTGAACATTCTCCATGATTTTAGCTGTTTTAGGAAAATTTTTTCTCTCTTTTTCAGACGGTTTCTCTTCCACACCAGGTTTATTACTTTGGTAGTTTATAAAATCTGATGAACTTCAGAATTTGTGCAATGTTAAATAGAAGACTTCATTGTGGAATTAAGTCAGGTGACATTGTGTGTTGTCACATGAAATAATAGGGGTATACAAGGCCTTCATTGCACAATAATTATGTCCAATTTGGTTGTAAATGTATATGTACCCATTCCTTGAAATTCAGGCAAAGTCACTGTGAGTCAAAGTCATTGTACAGTGTTGTATGTCTAGTGATGTCACGTTAAAACAGCTTTTTTGTGAGGCCAGTGTTTAGAGAATTAAAGCTCTAATTTGCCTGTCATTTGGCATTCATGGTCATGTGTTTAACAGACATTTTCTGTGACTTCATGATGTCATTCCAAATGACTGTGTCATTTGTTGTTCAGATTTTTTGGAATTTTTTTCATTGTTGAAGAAAATGCTCTCTCTTTATTCGGAATTTTTTTCCCACTTTGTGTTCTTCTCACATCAAGTCAATAGAATCTGTACATACATGTACATGTATTTTCCTCTGTCAAAGACTTTTGCCACTTTGCTCACTTGCGTCTTCATCAAACTTGGCCCAAACAAAGACCTTATGGCATAGAAAGTAAGCAACCTGATAGTGTCATCAAGAATCGTTGACACCCCTGCAAAGTTGCAGTATTCTGCAAGCATGTATCTCTAGAACTTACAGTACCAATAATACACCTTTCAAGAAAATCTTTTTTGAAAGCTTTTGTGACAGAAATTTATTTTTTACTTTTTCTTTCCAAAGTTTATGCCTTTTGGATAACCTGTGCAGTTTCACTGTTAGTGACGTGCATTTTCACCATTGATGCACAACGAAATTACAGGTTAGTAAGTACAAAAGGTTTTTTACAATCTTATAATCTAGTTCCAACTTTGCCTAATATTCTGTGAGCAAATCCTGTTTGTTATCAGTCATTTTTTAGTTGTTAAGTAGTTAAAATGGCCAATCGAATGTCTTGGTCAGTCTGAATCTCCAACCAGTGGCTCTATCGCAGCTATCTTTTTTATTCAGTTAGTTGGAATGGTTACTCTCTGTGTGTGACAGACTTCAATGCACCTTTTTGACAGAATATTTTCAGTTTTCCTTGCTGTTTATTGGAGCACAATGTCAGTTGTGCAGAAACTTTGTATTCCTGTGCTTTATTTAAGAGGGGGCTGTGTTTCACTTTTTAATTTTTATTCCCAGGAAACACACTGTGATGCTGTGGAGAGGCGACCGCTCATTCTTCCCACAGAAGAAAGCTAAATTTGATGCCATGCTGGTAAGTCTGCATAACTACCAGTGATCTACAGGCTAAGCAGAGAAATTGTCTATTAAGAAAGAGGGGGTTACCAGCCAAAGTATCATTCCATCTGTATTTCTTGTAACTGGTCACAACTGCTTAGGACACTCCTTTACTAAGCAGTGTGGTGATATACTGATAGCTGCATTTATTTCAATGCTGGTACTGAGTTACCAAAATAATAGAGAAAAGGTTTAAACTTATAAAGACATAGTTATGATAACAATTAGTAATGCACAGGTGTAATTATTTAAAGATTTGGTAACATTTAGGTCAAAGGTAAATACATTCTGCTTAAGAGCTTGATGAAATCACTGTTCAATTCTCAGTGTTACTTTTTTTCAGTCAACCACTGCAGAAAAACCTTTGTTTCTTGCCAGAAAATGATACAGAAATTTCAATTATGAAGTAACTTTGGAGATCTTTGACTTTATTCATACTGTAGGTATCAAGCTTACGTTACTCAGGATATCAAGTGGCATTTACAGCATGGGGTAAGTTTATCAAGAAAACACTGTAAGCAGAAAGGAAGCATTCTCCGGGGAAGGGTTGGAAGGGAAAGTGTATCCTTGGTAAACTGTGACTTGATCCACTGCATCATCAATGAAGACAAACAAGAAAACTGAAACAAAGAAAAGAAGATGGCTTCATATTGAAATGCAGTTGTTGCTTAACATGGAGTTCAAGCTTTGGGTAGACACTCTGGTGCTACCTTTGGATTAATTGGGACAGAACACAGAATCTGTAAAGGGCTTTTTTTTTTATTTGAGTAATCCTTAGATCTTGAATATATATGTGTTTGCCTAATGCTCCGGGGGAAAGCTTTGTTTAATTAAGCGGATTAAAAGGAAGCAGTGTTTTTTCATTCATGCATTCATTCATATGTGAATATATCATACAAGCCTGTTGCTCATACATAAGTTCAGTACAAAAAAGTATGTTATTTGTAAAGATTAACAAATAAATTGAGTGGACAGGATTGACCCTGCATTCTCCGGAACATTATACTGACACTCTACTAACTGAGCTATCCAGCCCTATGTTGGCGGCTCTCCCCATTTGTCAGTTCTTTTGTTCAAAAACCATAAGACTAAAAACACAACATAGCTAGGGATCACTCCCCAAATACAGGAGTTAGGGGTCACTCTGCCTTTTTTTTTTACATAAGTCATCCCACAAACAATGCAAAGAAACTGACTAAGAAACTGTAAAGAAACTGGCTTACTTCTTAATCACAAAGATGGACAAAGATTTTGACTGGAGTGCCGCCGCCGGTATGGTGTCCGGAGGTTTCAGGTTCGAATTTCACTCCTGTCAATTTCTTTGTTCATCCATGTAATTAATGTGTATGCACCTAGCCAGCTTCCTGACATAATTTGAGGATTTGTGAAAAATATGCTAAAAGTATAAAGCTTGAAGAATTAAATTAGGGCTGAGTCAGTTTGAATAATTCCCTATTCGAATTTTTGACATTCAATTTGATCAAATATCTGAATATTCGGTGTTAATGACTGGTAGATTGTTGATGAACAAACCATACACAAAATCAGTTGCAATAATGCTAGAACCATCTCCAGCCACAATTTAGTAAGATCTAACAGACGGACTCTACTATTTGCCCTGTTGAAAATTTCTATTCCTTTTATATTTATTAATGAATTGTACTTTTTGATGAAAGATATGTTATTCCTTTGCTTTTCATTTGAATCTGCTTGCAACAAGCCTCCATAGTGCAAGTTTTCTTATTTAAAACAAGAAAAATTCTCCCTTCCTTTTCATGAATTTTGCATTGAAATATTCAAATTTCAAAAATACTATTTGAACATTCGATAATTGATTGAATATTCAGATTTTGGGCACAGCCCGAAATTAATCGGCAAGTGATGTACATAGATACAGATGACCTCAGTTGACCTCAAGTGTACTGTGCCTGTACCACTGTGCTTCCATTCAGTACATGTAAAACATGAACCGACTGATTAAAGAAAGTATGCTTAGTGTAATATCCATTATTAGTTTTAATGTTTCAACAGCCAATCACTCTAGTTAAATCCTTCAATCATGTCAAAGCCATCATGTAGTTGAATCACACAGCTGTGCATTGCATTATTACATGTGTGTTGACATCACCAACTGTACGTTCTTTATTAATGCCAGGCTCTTCCAACATGGCACCTCATGCACCAAAGCAGCAAGCTGTGTGTCTGTGTCTTTCATTCTATTCTATCTTGAGGTTATTTTGAAGCACAGGACATTACTATTAGGAACTGGAGAGTGAATTCTATCGGTGCACGTACACTTACATGTACATCCTTATGGTTTCCTTTCTTACCGTCTCACTATGTATACTCCGTTCAGTCAGTTCCCAGTCTCAGTGTATGTTTTTGTGTTTTCTCGTGGGTTATAGTTGTTTTTGTAAACTTTGCTTTTCATATTCAAGTGTGTGCTGTTTCATTTTTGAATGCAATTTTTGAATCAAGTGTGTACTCTTGGTTTTATTGTTATTTAGTTCTTTTTTCCATTTTATCTTTATCTACATATCTAATTTTTAGTCTGTCTGACTGTTGATTATACATGTACATATATATATCATTTAACTCTTGTTTTGTTTTGAATAATGTATCAATGCACAGATTTAGGATATTATATATATTATGTTTATCCCATTCCTGTAACTGGCGATCCCTCCGCTGTTGGATGTGATAAATAAATAAATAAAGTGGCTGGATTTATTTTCATCCCCCCCCTTGCCCCAACAAAACAGGCCAAACCCACCTGACCCAAGCGTCATCTTTGTCAGTGATGGATTTCCCACCATCGATCATCAGCGCTTCCAATTTTGTCTTCAGTATTCGTCCTCTTGATGAAGTCAATTGACCCTGAAAGTCACTTCACTCTGCCCCCTCCACACCACCACCACTGGCTCCGATCCTCTCATTCTGCTAGTGATTTTTTTCCTTTCTTTTTGATTTCTCTTTGAATCTATTCAGGCTTTTTAGTTCTGCAAGTGGTACTGTGTGCCATAGCGTATTTGGTCATTCAGTTCAAAGAACAAGTGGTATATGAAATCAAGGAGTTCTGGTAAGTTAGACATATGTGACCCACTCTGTGAAAGCAAGTCTTAAGTCGCTAGAGCCACTTTTGAGTAAAATTTCCTTTAGAATAATTTTGCACAGTGTAAATCAATAGGAACCAACAGCATTTTTCACCATGGAGTAGCCACTTTCATCAGGATGCCAAACTGAGTCATACATCAAAACAAGAAACCGAATTTGCTCTTTCCAATACAAATGAAAACTCAAAAAGTGGATCTGGCGACTTACGACTCATTTTTGCAGAGTGGGTCACATATTGACTTGTATGACTTTTATGCACTTGCATATTTCTGCACCATAAATCACTGAACATTTCTACAGACAGTTTACCATGGTCCTATAATTTTTTTCAGTAATTTTAAATTGATTTTAGTAGTAAATACATTGCTTCCGGAGCATATAAAAAATATTGTTTGAAGGTTTAAACAAAAGTTTGAACTTTCAAGCAAATGATGCATTATGAGTCTGTGTTTATCGTATGAGTGCTTAAATTTCAAAATTGCTTCTCTGTTATTATATTAGTGTGTAGTGTAGCTCCGATTTTGGAGTTTCCAGATTTGTCATCCTCACTTGCATAATACTCTGTCACGGGCCTCTTATACCACCAGGCTGACCATTTTTATCACCGTGGGGTTCTACTATGTCCAGATCATCCTCTCGCGGCTCCTCTTCCTCCAGAGGGCGCCAGATCGGGGCCAATCCAGATTTGTGCAGAGGAAGGATATCTATCTTGGTCTGGATAACAGGTTCGGAAAGAGATCAGCTACTGGCTTGTACAGCTTCACACACACCCACCCATTCTTAACCTTACATACCTACTGTGGACATTCCTTTCTTTTCTGCAATTTAGAAAACCCGGTGAAAATACTCATTTTTCTTGAACTGGGAACATGATTTTCGGCTGGTTTTTTGTGCAAGGTTTCCTTGACTATTCCTCTTCCTTTTACGACAGATGCCTCTAAACCTCTTTTCCAGAGAAGGGAAAACGTGCTGTGGACGTGTGTAAGTCCACAGAACATCTTCCTTTCCTGCATCATGTGGACATCTTTTGTTCACAAGTCCACACTAGGTATGTAGGGTTAGCACACACTAACAAACAATTTAGTGGACTAGTGGGATATCCGCTCAGATGGAACTTTATGCACGTAGTAATAGTGATGTGACCTAGAGGTTACGGATGTCTGAACATGCCAAAGCAATACCAAACAGTTCGGCCTAGTCTGAATTATGTGGCTAGGGCTTGTAATTACTCCCCTTAGGGTTGTGTGTAATTTCCAAGCCACAGCCAAGTCATTTGGAAAAGGCCTTCTTTTTCCCCCCACCAATCTCGATGTACATGCACAGCATTTCCTGTAAGCTTGGAAAATACCATGGCCGCCGGCTATTCTCTCACATGCCAGAGGCGGACAGTTCAATTGAATCAAATGAATACACAGCTACGGACAAGTTCGATCAGCAACAAACTGTCAGCCGTTGGTCAGTTTTGAAATATGTACCAGGCAAGAGCCACAAACAACCATTTATTAACAAATTGTCACTAATCAAACTTGTCCTACACAGTCATGACAACAAACAACGTTGTCTTTAATATGGAAGGACACATCTCTGCTGTCTTTGGCTTTCCGCCCATGCTTAGGTGTGCTCCTTTTCTTGTAAACACCCAGCGGGTTGTACACATTCAGTTGAAAATTGGCCACACCCACTCTCTGTGCCCTCCCTTGGCTTTTTCGGGTAAGCCGTAGGCTTGGTCAGAATAACTTGTCTGTGGCTAGCCCTAACACAAGTGTTTACTACAAACAGCTGTAGCCACAAGCCAGTGATTTCTGTAAGCACATTTCATCACAGTTTTCACACGAAGAGGCGACTTTCTCACCCGAGAGGAAAACCTAGGTTTTGAGAAACTCGCATTTGCAGTTGGTCTCTTCTTCAAATGCTTATTTCCCCAGTATTTAGCATGCCTTTGACTTAACCAATGCCACTTCATGAAAGAGGGGATTTTAAATGACACAAAACTACTAAATGATACTTAGAAATCAAAAGAAATTGTTTGTGAAAACACTTGCTATTTTGCTATAGCGTGTGCCAGGTGCCAAATTGTTACATTTGTATACATTTCCAGAGTCAAAGTCGCCTCTTCATGAAAATGGCAAAACAAATTTGTCTATGAATTTGCCCTTTATTGCTAATGCTCTATCTATGGAAGACAAATTCGCCACTTTGTGAAATGCAAAATGCAGTTTGATTGAAATTTGCCCTTGGTGGATCATCATGATTTGGCTGATTTCAGATTTGGTAAAAAAATATTACACCAAAGTGTAAACATCACATAGCCTATTCAGCGCCTGAAAACAGGAATTTGAAAAAAATTGTGATTTTTGGCTAAAGTGTCTCTTCATGAAAGCAGTGACAATTTGTTTATACTTCTTGCTATACGCCAAGTGATTCTGATTCAAGTGCTCTATATTCTAAGCACTATGTTTATGATGTTCAACGAGAGACAAAATATTCCATTTGTCCAGGCGCATCTTCCATGTGACTATGTACATCACGCTGTTCATCAACTTCCTTGTGGGCCTGCTCAGTTGCTTCTTCCGTATCGTGGAAGCTATCATTTTAGAAACGATTTTCATCGGACGCTTGGACCACTGTATACTGATGCGCAACTGGGAACTATGGGACCAAGGTGATTGTTGATTTCTCCAAATGACTTGTCCTTTTTGTATTATTTTTTTAATCGAGATTTTTTGGGGGGGTAAGAAAGGTCAGATGTGTATTTTTTAAGTTCTACTTTAGGCTTGTTCATAATTATATGAACAAAGAACTTGATTGATTTGGCCTGCTGATTTACCTTTTGATAAGAATGTCTAATAAAAGTGAAGTTTGGTAGTGATTGTGTCCATGTTGCTCTGTTTATGGTTAGGTGTATCATCCTATTCCAAAAAACTCTAGGATTCTGTGGGAAACTGAACCAAGAGTGGGCTCTCAGTACAATATATTATGTTTTTTGGACCACATATCTGGGTGAAATATCCTGTCCCTTTTTCTGTTTTTTGTTTTTTTGGTGCAGTGTCGAAAACGCACTTCTTTGCTAATGAACTCTTATCGGTGTCTGTGGGTGATCAGCAAAGCAGAAAGCTTCAAAGACAATTCACCAAAGATTAGGACTCAGCTACTTGCCAAAGATGTTACCCTAAAAATCCAACCTTTGACAATGGCAAGATATGGAGGCCAATTTTTTCAAATAGTATGGCCAAATGCTACAAAGAGTGACTCTTAAAAGTCTGTTATACAAGATTTATGCAAAGGGTGTTGGAGATTATGAGGCTGCAAAGTGCAATGCATTGCAGCCTCATAATTTACGACACCTTGAGTCCCCAGTATGGAGTTATGCTTGCTACAATGCAGGCAATGTACAAAGGCACATGATTCCTCTCCATAGTCTTCCAAGACAGGTGTACAATCAATAGTGGGTCAGGCATGTGTAAAGTCCTGTATCAGAGGCTCAGAGAATGGTCAATGTTATGATCTGTCGGTCACCTATATGGATGTAGATTGGCTGATTGTGTTACACATCCGCAGATATAGACTAAAAGTCTACACTTTTTTACGTGCTTAAAGGGCAGCCGAAATGGAATTGACTTTTAATACAAACCTGAAAATGCGCCTTCGTGTCATTTTACTGTCATTTTCAATATTGAATTTACTATTTCAAAGGGTGTTTTGCTGCCTTGCTGCCTTTTTGGTTTTTATGCCAATGATTAGTTTGATATTAAATTAGGTTAGGCTTGCAGTTGCACCATGTCCACGAAAATATCTTTTTTATGAGTGCATAGTTCTGAGAAGAACCGATGGTGGACACTTGACTTTCCAAACAATATGCTCTGTTTGTTTTCAGGAGGGTGATCATAAAAGAGAAATTTTCGTGTACATGGTGCAACGGCAAGCCTAACCTAATGTAGTACTTCCAGCATGCCTAGCTTCAAGTGTTATCTATTTGAATATTGATGCGCAAAACTGTGACATCATCCCAGGAAGAACACCTCAATGTTTCATTGGTTTGTGCCCAGGAACACCAGCGCTTTGAGATTTTTCTGGCTTACATGTGATTTAATGTGTTAGTAGATAGCATTCCGTTCAAATCCACAATTTGAGTGGAAAAATTTCTGCACTAAACCATGACATCCTCAGATGACATCACAGTAACGGCGCCCTCAGTTGTCCAGAAAAGCAAGAATGATTTCAAAAATTTAAGAAATCACACCGAGGTACCTTAACCATACAGCTGGCAGGCTTTTCCATTCTTCTGCTGATCGTTGTGAGTTCATATCAACCCTTGTTTGTGTTTGACTCTACCTTTCAAATGACAGCGTTCAGGTCGTACATGGGCTTCTTGGAACTGGAGGTTGCTCATACCCATCCCGTAGTCATCACCTTCTGTCACTTTATGCTGCAGAATGTGCACAAACGCCAGAGCATAATGCAGAACGATGAAGTGCCTCTCATCGTGAACACTTCAGGTATGAAACAAGGGCAGATCCAGATTCATTCAAATACAGGAAAGCAATCAAACTCTTAAGGCAATGACACCCTTTTTTCCTTCGTATATCTGCATTTTGACAAATATGAGGGAAGGTTATTGTTGAAGGCTTTTGATGCCTTTCAAAGTTTTAGCTTTAAATTTTGTGGAGAATTCACATCGAAGTACTTAAGTTGTCGTTGGTTGCAAGTTTTCCATTTTCTTTTTCTCTCCTTTCCTCTTCTTCCCTCTTTATCTTCCTTGCCTTCATTTTTTTGTTTGTGAGTAATTTCACCCTTCCCCGCCCCCCCCCAATCCAGTACCAACATACAACATTTTTAATGTGATTAATTTTGTTGAAGGTGGTGCAGATGATGATGAATGCATCCTAGGTGAAGTCTCGGTTCCTCCAAAATTAGCCTCGGCCTCGCTCAAGTCGCGCCAGGTTCGCAACAAATGGCTGGTGGCACTGACCCTTTCCCGAAATCCCAGGCTAGCCCTGGAACGGAAGATTGCCCTGCTAGCTGACCAACAGAGGCTACGAACCCTCAGCTTGAACGTGTCTGTCAGAGGTAATGTTCAGGAACAGATGTCGAGGATTGTTTGAGTACCAAATGGACCTGCTGTGTCACCTTAGTAAACGGGGATTCATTACCATGTGTATAACTGTCAAATAAAAGCACAATCTTTCTGTAATGGCAGCACATCAAATGTGAGAAGGTTGTCGACTGATGCTTTATTTCAGTTTGTTCCTCGAATAATGTAGAGATTGGAATTAAAAGACAAACTGAATGAAATATTTTTCACACTCATGTCAGAAGTCAATAGAGAGAGCCTGTTCAAGTTTACAACGTGCAGTATCTCTGCCAAAAATTATTTTAAAATTGTTTGCAATATCCTTTGCCTCCAAACTTCATTGATGTACCCAATTAATAATTTCCTGACTGTTGGGTTCCAAATGTGACAATGAAGAATCTTTGTCAGTCTGGCGCACTTTTTGTGTCTGCTGTTGACGATTTCTGTCTGAGCTTTGTAGCCTTTCTCCCCTGAAAACTATGAATAGAGGGTGCGTTTCCAAAACATGATCATTCCACAATGCCGCTTTTTATCTCTTTGTGTTAGAGACAGCTACTACGCAGTGGAGACATAGCTTTTGGAATAGTACACTAATGATGAAAAATTACCATCTTCGAGCATTAAGAAAAAAAGAAGAGAAATGCAACAAATCGAAATAATCATAAGCTGAAATAAAAATGCCTCGTGTAATTTGGGTTATTATTAAAAGCAATTATTTCGTCCAGTTATTCAACTACAAATGAGATAACTCTGTTTTGACTGGAAATTTTGCTGTGGAAAAGTGGCTTGGCATACAAATGTTTCGTGTACTTCATTGAGAAGTTATGAGGTGTGAATGATGAACACGTAACCTAAGCATGTGTGTTATTAAAAGGTTAGAAATATTGGTGAATTTAAATTTCAAAAGAGGCTTTTCTTATTTTTGTACTTTCTATTGTGCATTATTTTCTGCAAAAATAGGCTTTACTTTCATATGTTGTGCAAATACATGTGTACCAATTTTTTTAGTTTGGCAAAATCTGATCAAGTATGCAAAAATTTTTGCTGCTCATCAAAATCTCACCATACACTGGAAGAGATGTAAGAACCCAATATTGTACAAAATGCTTACTGATAAAAATGCGTAACCCAATCCAACAAAATGAGTCTTAAGTCTCGAGAGTCACTTCTAAGTCTTATACCAGCCTCAGCAGATGTTGCAATGGAGCAGCATTTGTTGGACATTATACCCACTCGTAAAGCCCACATCCGCAATGTCTGAGGGATATGTCAACACATGTCTTGTCTGATCGCACAGGGCCCAATATCTCAATTCTGTCTGGTTCTTCTTCAGAAGCAAAAGGTGTGTAATGTTCTTACTTCAACCCCTGAAATGTTGGTGATGCATCTTTCTATTTCAGTCAACCTTGATTTTCAGTGTTTGGTTAAATTTGAACCTTTTGTGTAGTGTTATGGTAATGTGTAGTTCTTCATTAGCAGAACTGTGGTGTCAGTTTAGGAAGGAAACAATGTTGCATTGATTCATGCATAAATGGCTTCTGGATGGACTCTCGTATTTTTGCTGTTAATTTTTGCAGGTTCATTGTTGTAAGGACACAGCAATGAATGAGCAACCCTTCCTAGAAATGTTTCCAGTGAGCAGATTTTGAGGGCACAGACAGAAAACCTTATAAAATGAACCGTGTCACCCTGGATCCAGGTTTGGTTATAGAGAGAGTGGTGACATGAGTGTCTCAACTGTTGGAACCAAAATGGTGGATTATGCATCAGTGCACATGGTCAATTAGCACACAGTAGCTTCACGATGTACTGCACGTACATGTATGTTGAACAGCCATTTTGGTTGCAGTCTGAAGATGCTATGTACTTTGTCTGTCTGAAAAAGCATGGCCAATAACATTTTATAATTATGCTTTAATACACATAACCCAACAAGGGATGTAGCAGAGTAGAGCCTCCTCGACCCTTGACCCTTTCAACTAAACTTGTTAGCACGATCTTGCATTTGTTTGACACCATATAGTACGGATCTAGTACGGATCTAGTACCTTTTCGGTGTGTGGATGATCCTATAAATTTGGGGTCCCGTTTTTTATGTCACTGTCACACAAGTTAAGAACACATACTCTAAGTTGGAATGCAATGACCTGCCACACATACAGAAATATTTGAATTGAAGTCAATTTCAGTGATATTTCCATGTCAAATTACGCAGGCCAGGTGGAACAGGGACGCACAAATGTCATTATTATGGATCCAGAGGAATGCATGACATGGGCAAAAAATTCAGACTTTTATCTTTGGTCACAGGTTTTTATAATTGTTTTTAACAAAAAAGAAAGAATTTGCTACATATGAATGCATTGTATTACATTTTACACCGCACACAGCTGTTAATTATTTAAATTCATGTTGGTTCCACATTGAGATTTATATTTAATTTAAAAAGACTGATTTGAAATCACGACAGATTTTAAGTAAACTTTCAAGTATCTGTATGCTAGAAATTTGTCAGAGTCAGAGTTAGTAATGCATGATTCCATAAATACTTTTATTGAAATAGATCAATTCAATGCATGTTATATATTTAATTACTGTCAAAGAAGTCTGCAGTCATTTGTTAATAGTCATCATTATGGACAATGTAAAATCGGTATGCAATATGGTATTTTTCAGATTGCCATGTCATGAAGCATGCTATTCAATCCCACTTTTTGTTCCTGGATTGACAATCGATTGTGGTGTTAATCAGCATAAGAATTACGTGCTCAGTGATGGCTTTGTATTTTGTTTGAATGCGTGCATATATTATTGGTTATCTGTATTATGTATTAAAGTCGAGAAGGTGGTACCTCTTTGTTCATCCTAAAAGGAACTATAAAGTTTGTCTTCATAATAATAATAATAATGATAACAAGCACTTGTAAAGTACCATCCATCTCGTAAACTTTTCCAAGGCGCTGTATTATCATAACTGTCTTGGTTGAAATTAAGAGCATACTGGACACCCTAAATTTTCTGTGTGCTTCCATTTATTGTGAAAAAAAATCCAGAGCTCCTCAAAGTCAAGAACAATAAATTCTTGCCCATTTAGTCGTAAAGTCTGTCTGTGAAGTTGTTTTGTAGCGAATTTTTGTATTCCTTTTGGTATGAGCCTGGGACATGAGTGTAATCTCCTCCTCATGGAACTACATCAACTGTAAATTCGTTACGAATCCACAGTGGGATATGGATTCATAAACATAATCTACACTTTGAACAAAGGAGTGACGTCACAGAAAGTTTCATATTAATTTTGAGACTTCTCAAAAACGGCATGGTTTTTCCCTAGATCATTTTTCCCAACGAATTTATGCCAAACTTTGCAGCCTACCTAGTTATCTGCACTTTTACAATTTTCGTTTTCTTTTCAATCAAGCTTGACACACTAATATTGCCCTGCTTTACTTTTAAGCGGCACTTTCACCACAATTTATTTAGAGTTGTTGTTGTTGCTTTGTTTTAATGGCGCTTTCAGCAACTCAGGCTATTTGCGCCAATAACGTTTATTCATATACATTACGGAGTTAGGAAGAAGGTCCAGTTTTAGAGGCAGGAGGAAACC